GTCTCCAATTTTGTCTGATATGGTTATGGACGATTTGGAATCATATTGTTTGCGTCAATTGGATTTTGAGCCCTATTGTTATTTCAGATATGTTGATGACATTTTTTTAATTATTCCGAAATGTAAAGTGGAGGATATGCTTACGATTTTTAATAGCTTTCACTCGACTAAGGTTTACGTTTGAATTGGAGAACAATTGTTCCTTAAGTTTTTTAGACACAAACGTTATACGAGTTAATGGCAAATTGACGACTGACTGGTTCCGTAAGCCTACGTTTTCAGGCCGTTATATAAATTTTCTTTCGAACCATCCGATGCGTTATAAAATTAGTGTGATCACAAGCCTCGTGGACAGGGCTATTTTACTCGCTGACCCTATGTTTCACGAGAAAACATCATCTTAGTCAAACGAATTCTTCGTAACAATTGTTACCCGTCAACAGTCATAAACAAAATTGTTAACAGGAGACTTAGGGCGATTAAATTTGGCGGTAATTTTGGTGCGTCTAATCGAGATAAATTTGATACACGAAATGTTATAGTGTTGCCGTATATTAGAGATTTGAGCGAAAATATTACTCGTTGCATAAACAAAAATGGAATCGGTGTATTATATACCGTTCCAAAAAATTAGACACATTGATAAAAAGAGGGAAAGATAGTATTGATAACTTAAAAAGAACCGATGTCGTTTATAAGATCGAATGCGCGAATTGTGACTCTACATATATTGGACAAACAAAGCGACATTTAGAAACACGTATTAAGGAACATAAAAATAACATCAAAATAGACACGACATCACACTCAGTTGTTAGTTTGCATCGGACTTGCAACGATCATGAGTTCCGTTGGGATTCTCCTGTGATTCTGCATCAAGAAAAACAAACAAGAAAAAGAGAAATAGCAGAAATGTTCTATATAAAAAACCAAAGAAAAAGCATTAATTTACAAAAAGATACGGAGAATTTCAGTGGGATTTATGATCGCGTTCTTGAAGCTATTTAATATATTATATTGTCATATGTTACATATTTATTTATTTATTTATTTATTTATTTGACTTTGTATTGACGTTTTAAAAATTGCGAAAGACACAGTACTTTGGTTTTCTATTTTCTCAACGCGTAGTGACTAAGTTTCCTGCTAACAGTCAACATCTATTTATTTCGTGCTTACTTCTGTCAGTTATACATTGTTCATCAAAACAATGGTTAATTTTGTCGGGGGTTTGCTGTAAATATGATTTATTGTATTAATCTGGTATGTAAACATATATATTTTTGTAAATTTATAATTATTTGTATGATTAAGCGCATTAAGAGTATATTTATATGTATATAATTGTTTATAGATTACTTGAAAAGGGCTGCAATGACAGCCGAAACGTTGTAATTTAACTAATTATTTAGAATAAATTATTGCCAGTCTGGTCGACTTTAAAATTGGAGGAGAGATTTTCATTATTTATTACTGGCGACTCTTAAGGATTATCATTTAATTTATTACAAATATCTTGTTATATTTTATCTTTTGTTTAATTACCACGATGGCTACACCCAGATAGCAAAACATATGCATTCTGTACTCACATATTGTACTCATATTTCTTACAAACCTGATGACAGAAATAGACACAGATGCAGGCTCATATGCTACTCAAAACACGGACATATTATATCTTTAAAATTTTGCAAAAAAATTTTATTATGAGTAATGTCATTATGAGAATAATGCTCAAATTAATATTGCATATTATGCAAATTAATATTGCAAATTATTGCAAATTAATATTGCATGTTATATGAAGTTTAGAACATGACATTATATATGTTTGTATTTATTGCAATGCTATGAGTTTACGAAAATAAATTAATATTTTGCTATTAAAATTAGATTAAAATTATTTATAAAATTCAATAAATATCATTGACTAAAAATTACATTTATTACACATTATTATATATAAAATTATATATAAATTTGATATTACAAAATATAGTCCGGACACAAGACCTGATGTCTGAGGGGGTGTGGCTAGACAGAATTTTGCGATTGGAGATTGGTCTATTTTTTATCGGGGCATTAGTCTTTGGCGTTTGATAGGCTCTGCCTATACTTGCCGGCACTCTGATTGGGTCATTTTTATTTTGGAAGGGTAGAGGGAGAGTAGGTGGGTTTTGGAAAAAACCGACAAAATGGCGAATCGTGGTATACCGAGGCCACGTGAAGGGCGACTATGCACCTCGCTCTTCAAACTCTCTTACGCGATAGAGAGGAAGGGCCGCCGGAGTGACAGCGATGAAAAAGATTAGCAAAAAATACAGACTCGCACTAATTTCAGGCTGATAGCTTACTAAGCGTTGCACTATCGGCTAATGTTGGTATCATCATCGGTAACAAAGGAAACTAAAAGAACAAGATATACAAAAATTACAAACGCCTCTAATGTCTGACCACGATGCCGTATACGCGATATCAAGTATTATCGACACCTCGGTAACAGACCTAAGACGGAATAAGACCTAACAATAAAAAACAAAAAGAAGCGCGTGTACAATTTCGGCTGAACGTCACCTCGACACCATGGGTAATAAAAATAACTCTAATAGAAAACACGCTTGCTCGAGTTCGCATTCAAAGTTTTTTATTGTTGGAAAAATTAAATAAAATTATTTCTGATATACGGGGACAGAATAGAGAAAAGAATATATTGAACAATTTGAAGTAAAAAAGATCGAATTTCTATTTTGCTATGAGGTAAAGGACAGAGAATGTAGGAAAAATATAAAAATTTAAGTAAAATGTTTTACACACGTTTATTATTACTAATTTTTCATATAAATAAATGTTACATAAAAGTTAAAAACGATACATAGAAATATGTTATTAAAATTATTGAATTCAATATAATATTAGAATTAGAAATTACGTTTTTATTTTAGTGGAAAAAAAATTTTTGAAATAAATGTACGATTATTTGTCGTTGCGTGTACAATTTTCGGTAAAAAGAGTAAGAAATTGATTAAGATCGTATCCGATAGACATAAAGTAAAGAAATACACAACTATAATGTCCGCAAGTTTGTGAAAAAAGTCCTTGTAGTTGACGGGTATTCTATCGATGGATGACGGAGTTTCGTCGAAGTCGAAGGAGAAATCCTGGTTCCAGAAAAGGTAGTTCGTAGCTATCAAAAGTAGTTGCCTGTTCCATGTTCGTCAAGGAAGAAGACGACCCAGTGTTCACCAGGTCTATTATGATCGTCTGTATTAGCGACGATAGCCGTCGACCTCGTCCACACCCTCGGAACTCTGTCGGCGAAATAAACTCCCGCATGCTTGACATTGATATGACGCAATGCCCGTAGAATTTCGCAAGAGTTCACTTTTTGACGCAAAGATGAACGCGCGGATCCTGGTATTATTTGAATAATTTCAGTTTTTACTTCTCCCGCTGTAACGTTTCTGCACGACGATTTGCGCTCCGTAAATCTTTCTTCTTCTTCTTCTTCATTCTTAATTGACTGCTCGACGCTTGACAAATATTTTGTTTCTATTATACTATCCGCTCGAGTTTTTATATTATGAATTAAAACAGGATTATCATTTACGCTGCTAACAAAGTAATTTTTACCGTAGCTGGTTTTTTCGCTTTCGTGACCGCTGTCGTCGTTGTCGTCGTCACTGCTCAATTGAAAATTTTCGAGAGAACTACAACTAGTGGGTTGGCTAACACTGAGAATATCACTGCTGCCACTATTATTTTGTTCCAGCGCTTCAATTTGTAAGTATATTTATGTAATGCGCAATGAAAAATTTTTCGAAATCCATGATGCGTGCAATATTGTCCGCACTCTCCCTCCGCCGTTAGATTTTTGAATGCTGGAGAAATATCTTCTAAATTATATATCTCTCTGAAAAGTAGATTCCGCAAGTAATATGCTTTTTCGCTGCCTCCGACGTATATGTGCCTCGAGTATCTTATAATTTCTCGTAAACGTAACGTAAAATATTTTGAATTAGCTTCGCCGTCGAACCATTCGATACCGTGGTAATTTCGCATGAGCTATGTATTTTGCCGCCTTACTTTTTCGGGTAATTCTCCAAACGGATACAGAGCCATCATAATTCAATGGTCGACGATCGCTGCGTCAATCGCGACAACCGCGATTTTCTTAGGTAGAAACTTCTCGTTCGCATCGCGGAAGTCTTGTATGTCGATGACTATATCCATATTGTGATGAAAAATTTCTACGCTTTTTGTAGGCGAGGTTTAAGCTTTTCACGAACCTTCAATGTGCGTGTCTCGAAGGAAATTGACTATTTCTTTTCGTAACATCGTAAGATTTTCTTCTCGTAAAACATGTCGACGAATGGAAGTGGAAGAGAAGGGCGGGGTAAGAAAAACAGAAAAGTTTTAATCGGGTACGCTGCGACGTAAGAGTTGTAAATGCGGCGATAAAAATTTTAACCAGAAAAATCGATGATGACTTGATGCGACGAGTCGATTTCAATTACATTATCAAATTCGGCGTAAACAATACAATTAATTGTTTCGGTAAATGGCTTTTCGAATCGTACTTCTAATCGTAAACTGCCATGTCTCACGAGATTCCAATGCCCGGCGCAATTAGTGGACAAATCGGGTGTGAGATCAAAAGCGAAAAGCGTGTATCCCTTGGAATTAATCGTCTCTACTTATAGAATTTCTTATCTAATTTACGATTTAGATCTTTCGGGTTATCTTTACTTCGCCTGTCAGGTCGCGTGCTTACGCGAGCTCTCTATCCGCGATATTTTAGATATTGCCTTGCGTTCTCCGAAAGAAAATAATCGTGGAGACTGCAAGACGTAACATATGTATGTGTATGAATATATTTACTGAGCATTCACATGTGTGTATATATATATATATATATATATATATATATATACATATGTACACAGTATGTTCAATAAATAAGGGGACTTTTAAGATATAGAATAAAACACGTATCGTACTATGTTTGAAAGTTATTTTTTATTCGAAATAGTCTCCATTTAACTCAATACAACGTTTAGAACGATCAACCAATTTATGCATAGACTCTTTCATGTCATCTAAAGGAATGTTCTTTAACACCTGTGTCACGGCTGCTTGAATGGCTGGAATATCATCGTAAAACGCTCCTTTCATGGCAGTTTTCAGTTTAGGGAACAGAAAATAGTCGCATGGTGATAGATCGTTTTTAGCTGTTGAAATGATGTCTTTACAATGCTCTACACGAGCGATTTTTTGGTCTTTATTTAATTGATGTGGAACAAAGCGTGCACAGACCTTTCTTTTACCCAAATCGTCAGTTAAAATTGTCCAAATAGTACCAGTAGATGAATTTAATTCTTCAGCCAACATTCTAACAGTGAAATTTCCGTCAACAGCAATGATTTCGCGGACTTTTTCCACCAATTCAGCACGATTACTTCCTTCTGGACGACCAGGTCTTTCATCATCATTCAAATCTTCACGACCATTTTTAAATCGTTTAAACCACTTATGAACTTTTGAACGAGCTAAACAATCATCACCATACACTTTTTGCATCAATTCGTACGTCTCACTAAATGTTTTTCCAAGTTTAAAACAAAATTTAATATTTGCTCTTTGTTCCATTGTATTTTTACGACACAAGCACAAAACATACTGTCATTAAAAAGCGCGTAACTTTTTAACCTGTCAACCGATTTACATGAAGTTGGCTGCGTTTGAAAGGTGAGACCTGTACCTTTCTAATGTTATCAACGTTCAATAGATGGCGTTACGTGTTCCATGATTTAAATAAAAAGTCCCCTTATTTATTGAACATACTGTGTATAAGAATTGCATGTCAATATATATTAAAAAAAACAAATATATAAATTTATATATATATATATATATATATATATATATATTATTGTGTTCAAACTATGTGAAAAAAATAGACACAATTATGCATGTATGTTTTACTGTCATTGACACGCTTAGATAAAAACGCGTGTGCGAGATGATTCAACAGTAAAAATATATTATGTTGTTCAAAAAAAATAATATGTTGAACACAATAAAATTGTTTTTTTTTTTTTTGACATGCATGTAAATTTTTAATATAAATGGAAACTGCCGATAATAGCGAAATTAAAATTGTCGGTAATTATCGACAATTTTAATTCCACTTAGACGCTAACCCGTCGGAGTTCGGCTGGCACTCCAGCATCCCCTTAATATAAAATAATTTATGTGGCCCGTGATGTAAAACGATATGCTACAATTAATGAAATAAGGTACAATCTATAATATAATTTATATTACATTAATTAAACTGTTTAGGATGCAGTGTATTTACTGTATATTTATATTTATAAAATTTTTATATACAATAATTATAAGTATTTAATTATAAATAATCTATATACAGAAATACATATATTGTATATACAAATATTTCTTTCATTTTTCTTATTATAATTAAACTTATTATAATTAAATTTTTTTTTATTTTTTCTTATTTACAAATGTGCATGTTATAGTAGATTAAAAGATAAATTTTATTTTGATAAAAAAATTTTTTAAATAATAAGGCATAAAATAAAATATCTCTCGTCTTTTTTATCATTAGTAATATTTGTGAACAGATTATTCATTCAGCTGTAATATATATAATAGTATTTAAATGTATAAGGTATAAAATATAAAAATTTTTACATCAAAATGTTATATACGTTGTTATATTGTTTTATGTAGTAAAATAACATTTTAATTATAATTAAATTTGTGTATCTTTATTTTTATCAATAATAAAATTTTTTTTATTAAGAGAAGATTAACATAGCCATTTAATCTCGCAATTTAAGTTAAACGACATGTTTGTTGATTTTTCAATTTTCTTAACGCGAAAGTCCGTAAAATTCTAATTATTTCTAATAAAAAAATATCATTAATTATTGCGGATCTATTAATTTATCAGGTTCTACTCCTTTGTATTCTCCATAACATTTTCAAATTTTTCATTAAAAATATCTTTTTCCTTCATCTATTTAATTGTCTAATAAGTTGCGAGAGATCCATGTCCAAAGATTGTGATGTCGTTTACCTGAACTTTGCAAAAAGGGTGCTCTTGTAGTCAATAGAGGAATTGAGAAGAGGGGATGGTATGTGGTGGCCGAACGAGATTTTCAATACCTGCAATATGCGGTTGACTATCAATCCATTCCCTCTACAAGTTGCATTCTTCTTCCTTCCTTTATGGCAATAAAACGCACAGTTTTATGTTCGTGGTTTCAGGCTGCCAGATTATTTTCTAAGTTAGTATTGAGCTTCATTTGTTTGTTTTGAGCTTATGTAAGTGTAATGTGTGTAAGAGTGTCGATGCAAATAAGTGTATCGGCCAAAATGGTCGTAAAAAGAAAAAAAAATAAACACGTCCGAACACGTCAACGAACGCCAACAAACTTTTTTCTACAAGTTGCACATTGGTTGCTGCATTCAAAATACCAGACCTGTCTTGACCCATCTCTTGATAAAAAAGCAACGCTTCCAAAGTCTTACACACGCAGTTGTGCGGCGGTAACGTGAAAGTAAAATATCTAGAAGAACAAATTTTACTAAAATAATATAATTGCAAACAAATTTTAAGAAATTAGAAGATTGATTTAAAATCGAAAATTCTTACCGACAAATAAACAGGTCTAAATGCTGCGATATTTCTTCGATCCTTTAACATAACGTCATCAGAATTTGTTTCATAAAATCAGGAAATAAATTTGTCCGAATTTTTCCAAAGATTTGTTATGAACATCTTGTAAAATTTCATCTTTCATTTAATTACCACGATGACTACAATAATTAATTTACCTAACGAAATGATTGTTACCATTCTGGAGAATCTCAGCATTAAGGACATCGAGAACTTTAGTTCCACATGCAAACAATTTAGACATACAGATTGGGGCAATACACTTTGGAGAAAAAAATTCAATCAAAGGTAACATTTATATTATTCTTTTTGCTAATTCCTTTACAGGACGCTTTGATTTGAAATTATATGGAGATTTTATATTTCTAATTTATTAAATTGAAGCATTAATAATATAACGTTTTCTTAAAATTGAAAATAAAAAGATTACGTAAACGTCTAATTTACAAAATGTAAAATTTACAACTCTGTAATATAAATAGACAAATTCTTGAAGAACCGTTCTATATGTAAAATTTGGTAATTATGTATTTTAGGAGAGCCACTTTTGAATTTTGTTTATTTTTAATGAATTTACAGTTGATTAAAGTTTATTTTTTAAAGAACTAGTTCATTATATTTATATATGTTTGCAATTTTAATTCCACTGGTACAAGTTTCTACTTTCACTGGACGCAATTTTTATTTTTTATATCATTACTTTTATAGTAAGATTTTACAATGGATAATTTTTCATACAATACTATATGGGTTTGCAATGATTAATTTTTCATAGGATTCTACATGGATTTGCAATGGGTAATTTTTTGTTACTGGCATGCCGTTAATTGGGCGCCTTTTTTTACCTTTTTTTTTAAAAGATAAGTTTTTAGTTAAAATTATCTCGAAACATAATAAAAATTCAATAAATTAAAATTATGTCGCGACATAAAAAAAATTCTTGAATTAATATGTCTCGACATAATTTTAATACATCGAATTTTAATTATGTCGAGACATAATTTTAATTCATCGAATTTTTATTATGTCTCGACATAATTTTAATTCATCAAATTTTTATTATGTCTTGACTTAATTTTAATTCATCGAATTTTTATTAGGTATGTCTCAACATAATTTTAATTCATTGAATTTTTAATATGTCTCAATATAATAAAAATTCTTTATTCTAGACTTTATATTAGCGATATCTAGATTTCAGATTATAAGCAAATTGCATATTTGTTACTTTTTGCACATTCTACGACAGCATTGATAATGTGAAAAAATTATAATAGTTTTAACTAATTAATGTTTATTAATTTAAAAAATTATAATTTATTCACATTATTAATGTTCTTGTAGAATATGCAAAAATAACAAATATGCAAAAAAAAAATAATACAAGTAAATAGGCTCGTGTGTTTGCAATGCAAATAATACGATATGAAACGACCAAAGGACAAGCGTAAAATACGGGTGTTAAGTATATAATTTCTTTGAAGCGAATTGATATAGATTGTCAAATAAATTTAATACATAGTATACATACGTTTCGACTTACTAAGTATTCCTCAGTGTGAATTAAACATTAAAATAAAAACATAATTAAATTAAAATTCGCAATAACATAAGCGCACATTCAATGATTTAATATTAATATTACAGTGCATTCGTGTTGAGTGTCATCGAAATCGTAAAGTGAACAATATAATTATGCTTGAGATGTACTATACTAGAAGTTTTCAACAGTATCAAAAAGCAATTTCGTCGTGTGATGGCGAGAAGCTGAACTTTTTTTGTTGTTAACTATACAAAATTAGGAAATTCCTGAATTAAATTCTATTACCGTTAGTTATTAGGTATAAATGTAAAATTGGTCTAACTTACAATCCTCCTAAAATCGTGGTGGTAACTCTCAAGTTCACGAAACAAATGTCAGTATATTAGCAAAGATCGTTAACTTGTTTAATGTTTACTCTTGGCAAGTTTATCTAGGATGTCAAAATATGTGTTGTCAAGCAATTCGGTGTCTGTGTTTAAGTTTATTCCATTTTTTTGTTCTCTAATATGAATCATCTCTGGTATTAATCTTTTGTGTAAATTATTTTCAATGTCAAGAATTTTTACATTATTCCAATTGAACATATGATTTGAGTTAATTATATGTTCTGTAACCACCGAATGCTTAGATAAATCTGACTTATTATTGTTAGCATGTTCTTTAATAATAGTCTGTAATTTTCGTTTAGTTTGACCTACATATGACGCATCACAATTGTTACAGCTTAATTTTGTATATAACATTATTATTATCTTAGTGTTCGTTTCTATTTTTCTGTGTTTTAATGAATTTATCTAATTTACCAAGGCAGCAGTATTCTACTTTGAAATCTGATTTTTTTATTACAGTTGCTGCTAATTCCGAAATGTTTTTGATATATGAGATAATAAAATAATTATATTCTTGTTTTTTGTTTTTTCTGTTTGAGTTACTAATCGTTAGAGTTTTTATTCTTCTGTTAATTATGTTAAAAATGAGATAAAGGGGTAACCATTAACAACATTTTGATACATTTCTCTAAATTCTTTTTGTGGAATGTGGGATAAGATAGTAAATTTTTTAAAACAATGCAAAGATCAGAATATTATACCTAATCACTTACAACATTTTATGAATAAAAAACTTGTTTTATGTCATTTCAAATGAGTTAACAAACTAGAAAGTGTGATGCATAAATTTAAAAATAACATCCTTAATATTGAGATTTTATATAGACAGTTAGGATTCCTACATAGAAAACTTCTAAAAATCTTACATTTTATATTAAAAACATTAAGCCTATTCAGTTTAAACATATTATTAGGAACCAGAATACACAGCTAGTTGTTAATACCAATAATATTGTTAACGATGAATCTGTTAACGATATAGTCATTAACCCTGGAAATTTTCAATCTATTATTCCTCAATTATTATACCACACCAACGATAAGTGGTTTATTAATTTGACAGACTTTACCATTCCTAATGCAGTTTCGAATCTCTTGCAACATGGGGGTCAATTCATCATTCCAACTAACAATAGTAAAATAACAATGGTACACGAATTTATTAAGGACATTGAGGGTAACTCAAGGAGGTATAATATAA